AGGGAAAGATAAGAGGAATTGTAAACATGTACTGCCTGTGCACACTCACAGATGTTTAAAAGCAGAAAGAAGCAGGGAGGGGAAGAAATGACAGGCAACTGTTGAACTTCTTGCATTTGAAGTTAAGAATGTATGTTCAGGAGAAACAACTCTTCAAGAGTTTAAAAAAAAAGCAGTATGAATACTGTTACAGCTATTTAATATAATTTAATTCACTGTATCAACTGTAATCCACTGCAGGCAGCAAATCAAAAGTTGAGGTAAGAAAAGAAAGAAAACAACTTACCCAGATACCACCCAGGGTTCTGCATGTTGATCAGAAATATTGAAGAGACGGCAGCCCAAGTTCTCCACATCCTCTAGTCGACCTTCACGTGCCAATAAATAACCATATACATCCATTCCTAAAGTGAAATGTTGGAATATCAATCATCAAGAAATGGCGATTTCTTTCATGACAAGAAAAAACAAAAACAAAACCACAAACACCTCCTTCAAACTGTGCAACTACCAGTGACAGTTCAAGAGACACAGCTTCTGAATGTAAATTCTGAAGTGAAAGCCAAGTCCAGCAATACACAGTATCCCACTGCATGCTTAATTACATGTAGCTGCTACTCTAACGTTCCTCATCAGACCATCACACTAGGTAAACTTGCTTTTAGGATTTACTCACCTTTTATTAGGTAAGGATCCAGCATTTGCGCTTGTTCAAATTTTAGAATAGAGTTTTTATTATCTCCAGCTCTGAAATACAGGTCTGCTAAGCTCCCCAGTAAGTCTACGTTATCCCTCAGCAATGACTTTTTCTCTAGAGAACTTTAAGAAGAAAAAAAAATGCCTGTTATTTATATAATGCCATTTAAATATAATTATATATAAATATTAATAAATTATTTGATTACATCATTAGGTTGCCCAAGGAAGTTGTGGATGCCCCCTCCTGGAAGTGTTCAAGGCCAGGCTGGATGAGGCTTTGAGCAACCTGGTCTAGTGGAAGGTGTCCCTGCTGATGGCAGGGGGGTTGGAACTAGATGATCTTTAAGGTCCCTTCCAACCCAAACCATTCTATGATGATTCTATGATTCTGTTTGAACTCTTACCAAATGGTATTTATTGCTCTTGTGTTATCTCCAGTATGCACAAAAGCATATGCCTTGATCCACACGGAAAGCCAATCCAAGTTGGGAATACTCTGAATTATGTTGATGGTCATGGAGGCCACTTCTGCACCTTTCACCGACAGCGAGAGCAGGCCTGTTCAGGATGGTACAGACATCAGTTTCAGCCACCATAAACTGCTTTTAATACAAATTAATTGTCTGAAGACCAGAAACTCCATCCCCTGACAAGCATAAACAGGCAGCTTGTTGCACAATGCTTTTTATGATTTGCATAATGCAGGGGTTACAGATTACATGCAAATACAAGACACTTACCTAGTCCCAAGCACAATTCAAATTATAATGCTGCTTAATACTGAGATACTAAGGGTGTGCAGACACCTACCTAGTATGGCATCAAGTGCTAAAGGGCACTGTCTCAGTACTTCTTTGTAGCTCGTAACAGATGAGCGTTCTTGACCTGCTTTCTTGTACAGATTGGCCAACATCATATTGATCTACAAGCAACAGAAACGTTGGTGAAGTCAAGAATGAGAAAGAAGAAATTCTCACTGAGAAAAGGTCACAACTTTGTCTTCAAGTGCGCCTGCCTGACTCTCTCTTGTTCTGGGCAGAAGACAAAATTAACCTGCTCGTCTTCTGAGAACACTGTAACATTCCATACAGCATAAAATTAAAATTGTTGCTTCTTTCTGAGTACAAAGATAAAATTTACATTATTATTTGCATAGTGCATCTGCATGTTTTGCACATACGAAGTCAAAAGATGGGCAAGTGTTTATCTACAATGCCAAGAAGGATCTGTACACCCATGACATTAGCCTTCTTTCAGTTGATCTCTTCATATCAATGAAAAATCCTGAGAGAATCAGCTTAGGAAGGCAGAGAAAGTTTCCATTTAGCTTCTGAGTGAAGTAATGATTGATGCAAGAACAGAACTTATTTGAGCTCTGCACAACACAAGCAGCTGGTTTCTGATACAAACACTTTATGTTACCAGTGTGGATAGGTAACAAGCTTGCTTTTCTCAATCTTCTTGTTGTGTTCATAGAATCATAGAATGGTTTGGATTGGAAGGGACCTCAAAGATCATCTAGTTCCAATCCCCCCGCCTTCAGCAGGGACACCCTCCACTAGATCAGGTTGCTCAAAGCCTCATCCAGCCTGGTCTTAAACACTTCCAGGGAGGGGGCATCCACAACTTCCTTGGGCAACCTGTTCCAGTGTCTGACCACCCTTACAGTGAAGAACTTCTTCCTAATATCTCATCTAAACCTCCCCTCTTTCAGTTTAAACCCATTTCCCCTTGTCTTGTCATTAGTTGCCCTTATGAAAAGTCCCTCCCCAGCTTTCTTGTAGGCCCCCAAGTAAGTTCTGTAAGTTGGTCTCAAAACAAAACACTTGGACGTTCCTGGAGTCTAAGCCACGTACAGTTAGCACAATACAGGACCACTGTTAACATGAAACACAGTTGATTGACCTCATGTGTTAATCCTTTAAGCCCTTACGACATAACAGAGCCAGCAAGCAAAGACTCAATGTATTTGGCACTGCAGATCACAAATGGGATCTAAATATTTAACATTATCTAAACTGTGATTTAAAAGGATGAAAAGATTTTAAAAGATGGAGCACTAGCATTCCAACCACTTGACAAAGTCTTCAGCTTTTCAAGGACCTTACACTGCTCAAATTATACAATAAGACACGAAGTGCCGTTCACACACATTCTGGGTTCAAAAATATATTCAAAATAATCTAAGCCAATTTAAATAAACTAAGCTAATTTAAACATTAGGAAGTGTTTCCAAACAACATTTAACTAATACAAAACCAAGTACCAAGACACAATGCCATTATACCTACAGACTACATTCTTTTTTGACCAAATACTGACCTATAGATTCAAGATATGCTGACCAAGGACTTGTGACAAAAGTCTGCCAGAACTAACCTTTGGGGTCCTCTGTCTGGAAGGAATCCCATCAAGAATAGCAATGGCATCTTTATCTTGCTTCAGCATTGTATAACATTCAGCCATTTTATATTTCACTTCAATTTCAGATGGCAAACACTGAAATAAAAAAACAAACTTTAAAGTACAACGATGTTTTAGTCAAGTAAAAAAACCTGAGTAAGGTGTCCTTACTAAATGATTACACTGTGTTGAAAAAAATCTAGTGCCAGAGTTAACAATGCAGCCTACTGCTCGCTCACAGCGCTCCCGTTTTCAAATGGAAAGCATGAACTACACACACCAAAAAAATCTCATGCTCCAGAACACATTAAGTGTTGCATTAGAAAACACCACATTGATATTTCCAAAACAAACTAGCTTTAAATGTCAGGTTTGTTTGACATGATGAATCCACAATCTAACACTAAAATTGACTCGGCAACATGATTTTAAGGGCAAACACAATCACTTTATGCAGCACATGAGTAAATTTTTAAATACCTGGCTCTGGGGAGTTGATGCAGCATTTCCAGTAGAAGGTCTTACTTTTGAAGTTTTACTTAATGCTTTTTTCTGCTGCAAGGCCATTGTATACTTACTTACAGCATTTCTATATTCTTTATCATGGAAGAGAGAGTCTGCATGATATACAAGGAGCTGGTATTTCTGAGATGGTGAAAACAGTTCCCTAGAAGAAACACAAACAGAAAAGCTTGAGATCAGCTAACTGCAGAAGAACAAAAAACTTACAGATCCAGGGAATCTGTAGCTTTGGTTTGTGTGGCTTCAACTTCCAGCTGCTGCTGCTTATTTACTACATGAGAAGGGCCCTTGGGTAACAGGTACCACCTCCTCACAAAGGGATTACCTGGCCTATTTCTTTTACCTGTATGCAAACAAAGGCAACACCCACTCCTGACACTTGTAGTTACACCAGTAACAACAGCTCATGTTTAGCTGGTTGGCCACTGCTTTCCCTAATGGAGCAGCCCCCATCCTCCCCATAACAAACCATATATTGTCAATAAAGCGTATTTTGGTTAAATGGACCTGAGCTTACAAGGCAGCCCAGCTCCTTGTACAGCAATCCTGGTCCCAATCCACACCTTCCTACATTTTATAAACCACCTTGATAACAATTCCAGTGCCAGTACATTTGCACAAGCACTGAAGAGTCAGGGTTTCAGAAAGGGATTTTGGTTTTAATTAGTACCTCAAACTGATCAAAAATGTACAATGACACCTTACAGGGAAGTCCTGAGAAACAAAGGGAATCAACTTGAGTCAGGGGAAGAGCCACGACCTACACAGGGAACCCGAGAAAATCGCTGCACCTCTGCCCGGAGGCTGATGCTGCAGCGGGTACCCTGAGGGGTAGAGGCTGAG